CTACTACTACGACTACGACTACTACCACTACCAATACTACTACCACGGCCACTGCTGCTCCTACTACTACCACTACCACTACTACTACTACTACTACTACTACTACTACTACTACTACTACCACTACTACTCCTACTACTACTACTACTACTACTACTACCACTACTACTACTACTACCCCTACTGCTGCGACGACTACTACTACTACTACTACTACAACTACTACTACTACTACTACCACTACTACTACTACTACTACTACCACTACTACTAGTACCACTACAAATATTATTACGACGACAACTGCTACCACTGCCACTGCCACTGCCACTACGACTACGACAACGACTACGAGTACAACTGCGACTACAACTATGACTACGACTACTACTACTACTACTGCTGCTACTACTACGACTACTACTACTACTACTACGACTAGTGCTGCTACTACTGCTGCTGCTTCTACGACTACTACTGCTACGATTTTCACGACTGTCTCCACTACCGCTAATAAGTTTACAGCTGCTGCGTTTACTACTACCACGTACTCTTATCTTCTACTACTACTGGTAATACTACGACTACTACGGCTACTACTACTACTACTACTACCACTACTACTACTACTACTACTACTACTACTACTACTACTACTACTACTACTACTACTACTACTACGACTACGGCTACGACTACGACTACGACTACTACTACTACTACTACTACTACTACTACTACTACTACTACTAACACGACGGCTACCACTACGACTACGACTACTATACCACCACTACAACGACCATCGCTACTACTAGCTCGACCCCGACTACTACTACGACTACTGCTTTGATTACTACTACTACTACTACTACTACTACTGCTGCTACGACGACGACTACTACTACTACTACTACTACTACTACTACTCCCACTACTACTGCTACCACTACTACGGCTACTAGTACTACTAGTGCTACTACTACTTTTACAACCACTGCTACTACTACTACTACTACTACTACCACCACCACTACTTCTATCACTGCTACTAGAAACTACCCGTACTACTACGACTGCGGCTACTACTGCTACTACTACTACTACTACTACTACTACTACTACTACCACTACTACTACTGCCACTACGACGACTACTACGACGACTACTACTACTACTACTACTGCGACTACAACTGCTACTACGGATACAACTACGACTACGACTACGACTACGGCTACGACTATACTGGTACTCGTACTACTACTACTACTACTACTACTACTCCTACTACTGCCACTACTACCACTACTACTACTACTACTACTACTACTACTACTACGACTACGACTCTATGATTACTACTACTACTACTACTACTACGACTACGACTGCGACTACGACTACGACTACGACTACAACTACGACTACGACTACGATTACGACTACTACTACCACTACTATTACTACTACTACTACTACTACTACTACTGCTACGACTGTCACTACCACCACTACTACTACTATTACTACCACTACTACTACTACTGCTTCTACTACTGCTACTACTACTACTACTACTACAACTACTACTACTACAACTACGACTACGACTACTACTACTACTACTACTACTACTACTACTACTACTACTACTGCTAACACTACTACTACTATGGCATGGAGTAGTACTGCAACGCGTGGGACAAGCACGACTACCACTAGCACGGCGACGGCTGCTAGTGGAACTACCACTGCCAATACTACTGCTACTACAACTACTGCGACCACTACTTCTTTTGACGCTACTAATACGACGCCGAGTGCAATTACTCACAAAACTACTACTACTACTACGGCTACTACCACGGATACACACATCACCACTACGACTAGTACTACTACTACTACGACTACTACTACTACTACTACTACTGCTACTACTACTACTACTACGACTACTACGACTACGACTACGACTACGACTACGACTACTACTACTACTACTACTACTACTACTAGTACGACTACTACTACTACTACTACTACTACTACAAGTACACCTACTACTTCTACTACTACTACTACTACTACTACTGCTGCTACTGCTACTGCTACTGCTACTACTACGCATGCTACTACTACTACTTCTACTACGACTACGACTACTACTACTACTACTACCACTACTACTACTACTGTTACCAGCACTACTACTACGACCACCACTACTATTACTACTACCACTACTACTGCTACTACTACTACTACTACTGCTACTACTACCTCTATGGGTAGTACGGCCAACACTATGACAACTACGACTACTACTACCAATACTACAAGTAGGCATACGACTAGCACTACGACTACGAATACCCCTACGAATACTAGAGCCACTACTTCTACTACTACTGCTACGACGACTACTTCTACTGCTACTACTGCTACTACTAGGATCTTTACGACTACCACGCCTACTTCGACTACTACTTCTAC